TAGTTTATACTACATATACTTCCATACAAATGTTTATTGAAAATCAATGATCTTTTAATACATAACTTATGAATTCAGAGAATATATACCTCAGGGTCAAAACAATACAATCCCCTTCAATATGTTCAATAATACATTCTAGATTATCTTTAACAGGACTCCAGGCTAGAACAAATTCTCCTAACAATTGTGTTGTTTATTACAAAAGCTTGGGTGTTTAATTATTTCACAGTCAGTATTCCATTGGGTAATTCTTCTAAACTAAATTACAGTATCGATTCCAAATCAAATGGAATCTTTATAATATTGACATTGCACATTTTTTTAATTTTTTTTATCACATATGCTGTTTCATATCAATGAATGTGATGTTTCAGAGTAATTCATCAATTGATTTTATAATGTTAGATTCATATTAAAACTGTTTTATCTCTTTAGTAATTTTGAATGAGCATTTTATTTAGGTCTTTCCACTTTTCTGTGGAAAGACCTATTGGTTTTCTTCTGATTATTTTTTTTTTTTTTTTTCTTCCGCCTAATTTTGTTCTTGCGATAAATATTTGTTTCGCAATATGTCGCTTAGATATTTGGTATATGATATCGAACAGTTTATGCGCCTTTGAAATTTACCCTGTGTAACCAAATAATTTTCTTTGTAGGAGTTATCTCCCCAAACACTGTTTTCCTTGTGCACACATCTCCTCCGTAACCGTAAAAGAAAGCGACAAATTTATTTTATAAAATTGCTCGTTATATGCTTCGCATGATTTGTCCTATTTTGACCGAAGCAATATGAACGCTCCATATGAGAGACTGAGTTATTACCCCTTATGCATTTGATATAAGTGATATGCACTTCTATCTTGTAAACCATAAGTGATAGAGACCTAGGATCTTTTGATTTGAGGTCCTTGGTCCAAAAAAATGAAAATTAGGTCAAGGTCAAAGGTCAAGGTCATATTCTAAATTTTAAATTTGGCTTTTTTTCACTTATTTCCAAAAACCGTATAAGATATCGACAAATTATTTTTACTATATTGTTATTTGCGACATGTCGTAACACGTAAATTTTGATTGCAAGGGTACGTTGAACGTAAAAGGGAATTTTCTCCCCTCTTGTATTTAAAAATATGCGTATGGTGATATAACTCATTAACTAAATATAATTAAGACCTATGGTCTTTTGATTTGAGGTCCTTGGTTTATGACCTTGAAATTGATCTCAAGGTCATAGCTCAATTTGACGTTCTAGATTTTGACCTTTGCTTTTACCTAATTTGTATACATGATAAAGCCATGAGACTTTTGGCAATAGGTATCAAACCATTTAACCTTGAAAAAAAACCGGAAGTGACCTTGTGTAAACCGGAAGTAGCTATATTTTGTACTTTCTTAATATAAAAGTATATAGAACCAGATATTTTTGGAATCAGTGTCAAGTAAATATTCAGATAGTATCGAAAGTATCATTTTTCAAACTGGAAGTAACAAATTATCTCCCTTATCTAAAAAAATATTGTATAGAAACCATATATTTTTGGAATCAGCGTACAATAAGCTATCATTTGACCATTGAAATGACATTTTTAACCTAATTTTACTACTTATCATATTAAAATTCATGGTTTTTGGTGGAAAGACCTTCAATTGTTCTCTGAACAATTGGTTTTTAATTTCATATGTGTTTCTTCAACCTAATCTTGTCAACCAGATGTAAAAAATTCAATATATGTGTCTTTGTTAAAACATGCAGCCATTATCTTCATTTACACCCAGATGTCGTTAACTGAAATTGAATACCCTGCATTTATCATGCTTTTCAATAACATATGGTCAAATCGCTGAAAGACCCCTCCTAAATTATTGAAAACTATCATTCTGCATTAACAATAATATCTTGGTGTAAATTAACAACAGCCATTCAGGCTAACGCACTCAAAGTGTATCTAATACATACATTTTACTATATAGTAAATATATGTGAAAAGGCATCAATGTGAGTGATTAGACTAAAATACAACTAAATAGATTATATATGTACTAGAAGAATCCGGTTCCGTTCGCCCTAGTACCTGTTCGCCCTGGGTCCGTTCGCCCAAATTTTTATTTCATTTTGTTGTCTTGTTGTATAATATATATCATTTGAATAGAGCATGTTCAATTTTTTTGAAAATTTTGCCGAATATTTATGTTGCATTGCTGCTACCAGATAATCATTTTCCTTTGATTTGCACTATAGTGTATAGGAAAACAAAGGTATTTAATATAAAACAACTGAAAATCCACTAACATATAAAAAATTTGGTCAAAACAAACTTGAGATCAAAGAAGCAAAGCTGCAAAACAAATTTCCCTCTCATAGCTACCAATTCGTAAATCATTGCTTTTACTCCACTTTATTTAAAAAAATTTTATTTTTCATTATTAATTCACCAATCAGCGATATCAAAGACACTCAGCATAATTTTACCTAGTAATCAGAATTCTTGATTACAATCAACAGTCATTGAAAGTAATACTGAATGAAAACTAATGTAACAATGAAGCCAATTAATGCTCTCCAAAACTAGCCATTAATTTTTAAATATTTCCCATCGGTTTTTGAGAAATATATATTTTCTTTAATATTTATCATATAACTATCTGAATAAGTTTATTAAACCTTAAGGATGTTCGTTCCTCTTGTTTTTGAATTTTTGCCAAATATTAGGAATCCTCGGGTTGTATCCATGTAGTGCCATTATAAATTTTGCCCACTAACCCCTACTTTTCTTTTCATAATTTGATTACATATAGTTTAAAATATCATTTTTGAAAATCTTATAAAATCCTTGTTATTTTTTCATCGTTTTTTAAAGAAAAAAGGTGCCAATGTTAAGTGTATGAACAATCTAGAGAGAATTATTTCCCGCCAAATTTTCAATGGCTTATACCTCGAAAACAAGCACACGGACCCTCCATTTTTTTCTGCTTTTTTAATTCCTTTATTTATATACTATCAATTTATAACAGTGTTTTAAAAAGCTTGTTATTTTGAAACAGAGTAGCGAACATCCTTAATACCATTAATATTAAATTGTTTTTTAAATAAAAGTAGGGCCAACAAACCCAGGGCGAACGGACCTAGGGCGAACAGACCCGATGCAGTTCTAGTAAGTACTCATTTATAAAAGAAACAGGATTTTTATTTCGACACTAGCTGTAATAAAGAGCTCTTTTCAACAATATATTTGAATCCACATCTAACTGAAAAATCTAGATGGTCACCAGCAAAATAGAAATTTCTATTAAAACATGTCAGGCTGTTAGATAAATCATTAGATCATTCAAATTTAATTAATCAAAGCACGTGAGTGCTACAAAGGCAATTGCCACCAAGTCAAGTTTTTGTGATTACTAGTTTTCATCCTATATTAAAGTATAACATATTTGTACATCTGACAGGACACTATATTGATCAAATTCACAAAAGACTATTGACAATTGATTTTACACTACTTCAGCATCATAGGAAGAAGTCACTTCACTTTTTGAAACTGATAGGGAGAAGTTGTGAGAATTAAAAGAGAAGCACTCATTCTGCAAAGGCCCTATAATGTATGGTTTTTATTTTACCATTTGTATCCTATTTATTTAATTCTTTTTTGTACTGTCAAAATCCATTTGAAATAATATTACAGGGATACAGTACATACCTGTATCATCATGATCATTGTAGTAATATGACAGGGACACAGTATATACCTTCATCATTGTAGTAATATGACAGGGATACAATACATACCTTCATCATTGTAGCAATATGACAGGGACACAGTATATACCTTCATCATTGTAGCAATATGACAGGGATACAGTACAATGTATATACCTGTATCATCATTGTAGTAATATGACAGGGACACAGTATATACCTTCATCATTATAGTAATATGACAGGGATACAATACATACATGTACCTTCATCATTGTAGCAATATGACAGGGATACAGTACATACCTGCATCATTGTAGCAATATGACAGGGATACAGTACATACCTGCATCATTGTAGCAATATGACAGGGATGCAGTACATGCCTGCATCATTGTAGCAATATGACAGGGATGCAGTACATACCTTCATCATTGTAGCAATATGACAGGGATACAGTACATACCTGCATCATTGTAGCAATATGACAGGGATGCAGTACATACCTGCATCATTGTAGCAATATGACAGGGAAACAGTATATACCTGCATCATTGTAGCAATATGACAGGGATACAGTACATACCTGCATCATTGTAGCAATATGACAGGGATACAGTACATACCTGCATCATTGTAGCAATATGACAGGGATGCAGTACATACCTTCATCATTGTAGCAATATGACAGGGATACAGTACATACCTGCATCATTGTAGCAATATGACAGGGATACAGTACATACCTGCATCATTGTAGCAATATGACAGGGATGCAGTACATGCCTGCATCATTGTAGCAATATGACAGGGATGCAGTACATACCTTCATCATTGTAGCAATATGACAGGGATACAGTACATACCTGCATCATTGTAGCAATATGACAGGGATGCAGTACATACCTGCATCATTGTAGCAATATGACAGGGAAACAGTATATACCTGCATCATTGTAGCAATATGACAGGGATACAGTACATACCTGCATCATTGTAGCAATATGACAGGGATACAGTACATACCTGCATCATTGTAGCAATATGACAGGGATACAAAACATACCTGCATCATTGTAGCAATATGACAGGGATACAAAACATACCTGCATCATTGTAGTAATATGACAGGGATACAGTACATACCTGTATCATTGTTGCAATATGGCAGGGATACAGTACATACCTGCATCATTGTAGCAATATGGCAGGGATACAATACATACCTGCATCATTGTAGTAATATGACAGGGATACAGTGCATACCTGTATCATTGTTGCAATATGGCAGGGATACAATACATACCTGCATCATTGTAGCAATATGACAGGGATTCAGTATATAAATCATCTGACGTGTGGCGAGTTTAAATCCAAGTTCTATTCCAAATGTTGTACACATAACCACTAATAATATTCTCTTCCCACAGTAATCCCTATCAGATTTGAGTGGAACATTTGGTAAAGTTAGATGGAGAACAGCTATGACTACTACAATCCCAGACACAATTGTTGTAAAAACACTTTCAATAATTCGCTGCTGAACTGATAAAAAAGTTTGGCATTGATCCCCACCATTTCCAGCCAGTTCAAAATCAACTCCAGTGTAGGACCAGTCCAACCATCCAGGATCAGCTATAACGTTGCCACCTGTGTTTTCTGTCATTGTTACCACACCAGCCTTTTTATCTTGAGAACCTGAAAAAAACAAGGCAAAATTATCCATTATATTAAAAAAAGTGCAGTATTTCAGGGCCTTGTTTTCAAAGTTACAAAATGTATACAGGTTGTATAGATTTGTACAATGTAAATAATTCATTTTAGGATTACTGTTTGAGGGCCTCAGGGAAGATTAGCTTTATTATTGCTTACTGTGCTACCCTCTTAAAATAAAGTATTTTCTTTACTTACTTATACTTACAAAGAGAATGTGCTATGGATAGCTCCATACGTATTTCAAACTATTGTAGGGGAAAAAATCTACTTTTAGAAATTTGTTTCTACATGTAGTACAAACCAATAAATTCCAATATTTTTTTAAATCTTCATCTAAAAGGAAACATGTGAAATCATAAACATTTTTCTTTTCTAAATTATAATTACTTGGTATTGATATTATTCTGAAACTTACATCATATAATGTCATTAATGGATTTTTTGGCTGTAGCAAATGTGGTTCAATATTACTATATTATTGATATCAGATGTGTATTTTTCTTCTGTATATTAACGGGTACTTCTTCAATCAACAATCACTTCTTGACCTATTTTCTATCCATTATCTGACTGTACACCCTCTCATTCATTGGTTCTGTCCCCCTCATTGATAAGTTTTATTCACCCCCTCGTTCATTGGTTTTGTTCCCCCTCCCATTCATTGGTTCTGTTCCCCCCTCCCATTCATTGGTTCTGTTCCCCCCTCCCATTCATTGGTTCTGTTTCCCCTCTCATTCATTGGTTTTATTCATCCCTCATTCATTGGTTCTGTTTCCCCTCTCATTCATTGGTTTTATTCATCCCTCATTCATTGGTTCTGTTCCCCCCTCCAATTCATTGGTTCTGTTCCCCCCTCCCATTCATTGGTTCTGTTCCCCCCTCCCATTCATTGGTTCTGTTCCCCCCTCCCATTCATTGGTTCTGTTTCCCCTCTCATTCATTGGTTTTATTCATCCCTCATTCATTGGTTCTGTTCCCCCTCCAATTCATTGGTTCTGTTCCCCCCTCCCATTCAATGGTTCTGTCCCCCCCTCATTCGTTGGTTCTGTTTCCCCTCTCATTCATTGGTTTTATTCACCCCCTCATTCATTGGTTCTGTTCCCCCTCCCATTCAATGGTTCTGTCCCCCCCCTCATTCATTGGTTCTGTTTCCCCTCTCATTCATTAGTTTTATTCACCCCCTCATTCATTGGTTCTGTTCCCCCTCCCATTCAATGGTTCTGTCCCCCCCTCATTCATTGGTTCTGTTCCCCCTTCCCATTCATTGGTTCTCTTCCCCCTCCCATTCATTGGTTCTGTTCCCCCCTCCCATTCATTGCTTCTGAAATAAAAATATAAACATATGTCTTGTGACATTAAATGCGAGGCCCACTGATCATGGTTATGTAGTGATTGATAATTTCCTATTTAGTAGATAATTAATTTAGGTGGAGTCATTTCATGGGCACTGAATGTAATGCAGCAGAGACTAGAGAGGACAAAACTGAAAGTAAAAGTAGAGAAGACTGTAAATATCATCACATTTTTTTCAATTCTTGGCTTTAAACCTACATTTCTTCAAATTCTTGAAAGAAAAAAGTGCATCAACTTATTAAGGCAATACATTTTAATTTGATTTTTTAAAATTTTTTGCCATACATGATGAGGATTTGTTAAAATTAACTATCAATAAAAACACAAAACTGCAAACAGTTCTACTTACAACAAAATCAAAATATTTACTTTCTCAATTCTAAGAAAATTGATCATTAATATCCCTGTAGTGTCATTTGGCATTAATCATTTAACAATAGGTATGTTGTTATTCTATTAGGCTTATGACTTTAGAGATACTCAGTTAATCTAAGTCACATTAACCCACTGACAAGTGCCCTCATATGTAACTGACCTTTAATTATTTATTATTCATATTCATATGTTTAGATAAATATATAGATAACATATTTTTTATATCAAATAGAGGATCAATTATGGGCAAAATAAGTACACTGTTTTATAGCACATGTATACAAAATAAGTACACTGTTTTATAGCACATGTATAGGTAATAAAAAATAAATGGGGAATGTGTCCATGGGACACAGATGATGCCCCCGCTTGCATATAACGTTATAAAGGGATATAACTCAAGAACTGTAAAAGTGACGCTACCCAAATTGTAACTTGATCTGTGTTTTGTGGAAATAAGCATTGTGTTTAAGTTTCATAACATTTGGTTGAGGCAAACTAAAGTTAGAGAATGGAAACCAATTTTGGGACGTACGTATGTACAGACGGACAAGGGTAAAACTTAATGCCCCCTCCGCTACGGCGGGGGCATAATAAAAACAGCTCAACTATGGAATATATAACATGGGTTGCAAAAATAACCATATACCATAATGTTCAGAGTTTGTTGAACAGGCACCAAAAGCAGCATCATTTACAGAAATAATACATATGTATAAATTGTATACATGTATGAGCAGTTTATAGTTTCATTGTGTTACTGCCTGAATGTTTATAACAATGTCATGTGCCCACCCACCAAAGGCACTTAATTGGAACAATAAATATTCTTAACCATGTTTAACTGGATAATTAAGCTAACATAGCTATTCCTATGGTATGGGAATTTGCATGGGAATTCTGGGGGATCTCGTCTTCTATCTAGGGGGTATAATTATACCTTTACAATACAGAAAACATAAAAAATTTAAGATAAACTGTTGATACAGAGATATGTCTTGCCAGTATATAATTTGATAGTAAAATGCAAATTAAAATAGCAATACTTTAACATGTAAATTATGCCAAATACTCATAGTCAATGAAACATGACTGAAGGAACAAGGCCAAATAATTTCTGAGATATAACTAAGATATGCCAATGCTAATACAACTATCATTAGCAGAAAGCCTTCCTATAATAGTATAATATACACAAACAATTTGAACTGAAAAAATATTGTAGTACGTGTATATTGATATAGAACCTGAGAACAAAATTTGACATTTAAAAAAATATGAGCCTTTCACTTTAACTCAAATATGTTATTAACTTTTTCTATAAATATCTGTCATTTACAAATGTAGTTTAATTTTAAGATGAGAATAGTAACATGATATTATAACACCTCTTGTTACTCAATACTTTGTATATATTTTTGTACTACAATTTATCACCAAGGTATTCAATAGAACATTGTATATATACACAAGTGACATAAATCAATTTATAGGTCACTACCAGTTTTAGTGGTTGGTGGAGTTCACATGGCATTTAAAGATTAAATAATACTTAATAATAAAATATAAATTATAGAAATAGTATCACTTTTAGCTAAACACATGAATATCATTGTATATAGAGAATAGGGTTTTCTTCAAATTGATATTGCAAAATATCAACTGCAGGCCATAAAGTGAACCTTTTTAACAAGTGATCACAGCAAACTAGCTAAAAAGCTTCACATTGTGTCCAGTGGCTAATACTTAAAATAAACAAACCGGAGCTATGTTTGTTGTACGGTCTTTTACAAAACTATATCATAACCTGTCAAACATGAATAAAGGCAGTAGATTCAAAGTGCCATCTGTCCTAGTCAGTAGAAAATATTCATAATATCAAGTATCAATATCTGATAATAATACAAATCTTTAAATGTTGTTCCTGTACAGTTTGAAGAAGAATATGGCTATACAAAATCAAACAGCAATAACAAGATTATAAGACTTAAAAACAAGTAAAAATTATTGCAATATTCATTTGTTGCATTTTTCATGTTTATAAAGCCCCACCTTATAAAACTGGCACCAGATCAAGTTAGAAGGAGGGAGTTCGTCAATGGCCTATGCTCCCTGGAGGAGCTAAGGGCCTAAGTAAGTAAGTGAGTAAGGCCAAAATTGTTAAATCCATTAATTGTTATATCATTCAATATACAAATATATTTATTTTGTTTCAGTCTAATGTGTTATCCACTTGACAGTAATTGGGTTACATGGAAATAATGTCTATGTATATTTGTATATGCTTCAAACATTTCAGCTGAAATATACAGATCTGCTATTGTCAAGCTGATAGCTAGTAACATCTGACAACATATCCATGCAGATATATCTCTTCAATAGTACACACAGATTAGTGTATATCAAAACAGGAAACAAATGAAAACTGACATTAAATGATTTAGACAAATCAATATTATTGTCAGTATCTTGTTTCTGATTATTCTAATTTCCCCATATAATAGAAATATTGTAATTCTTTTCATAATCTCATACACTAACAAGAATTTAACTTTTTTCTTAAAATTTGAGATTTGACAGGGAAATCCTGTTTCTTTTTAACATGTAAGAGTAAGTGAAACCAGGAACAGTTAGTCAATATATTGAAACATAATCTAATAAATAATCCTGTTCCTTATTAAAGTGTGAGGGTTATTGAAACTAGATACAGTTGGTCCATATATTGAAACTTATTTAAAAACATAGGAAGAGTCAAAATTAAAACTGTCTGCTAACTTATACCCAGAACTGCTGTAAAAAAATATCATTGAGATTTCAAAAGCTAAAGTTTAGAAATTTGTTAAACATGTAGTTTGAAGGTCATAACTCTGAAAATCAGTGATGGAAATCTGATTCTGGAGGAAAGAATGGATGAACTGTGTGCATAATTTCAATCCTTTTTTTGTTTTTCATTGAGGTTCGGTCATAAAGTTGCATTATGGCATTTCTTAAGATAATCATTTTTTTTCAAAAGACAAAAAATGAGCATAACATGTGTCAACCTCACTGGGTCAATAAATTTGCAAAACAATTTCTTCTTGCAATTTCATATTTTTATCAATTTATGTTCACAATTTCAAGTTCAAAGCTTAAAACAGAAGAAATTACCAAATAAAGATTCATCTTAAATTCTAGGTAAAATTAACTATATATACATCATAATTTTAAAATGCAGACATGTTAAATGACTTGACAATGGTAAACTTACATGTGAAGTCTGTGATCACCTTGTTCTAGTGGTTCCTTTATTGTAACTATCTATAATATGTATAACATAATACAATTAATCAATACACTTCTGACATTTACACAGACTCATTTCAAAAACAAAATCAAATGCCAAAAAAAGCAGAAATAAAATAGTATCTTCAACACAATTTTTGTAAAAACATTGATTTTGATCATCTTTTATAAAAAAAATGGATACACATGTACAGGCAAAATTTGCTTACATGGATTTCACATGAACTTTACAAAAAATAAATGGGGAATGTGTCCATGGGACACAAATGATGCCCCCGCTTGCATACAACATTATAAAGGGACAAAACTCAAGAACTGTAAAAGTGACGCTACCAAAATTCAAAGTTGATCTGTGTATTGTGGTAATAAACATTGTGTATAAGATTCATAACGTTTAGTTGAGGCAAACTAAAGTTCGAAAACGGAAACAAAATATTCAGCAATTTTTACCATTGTAAAGGGGCATAACTCTAGAATGGTAAAATTGACGCTACCAAAATTCAAACTTGTTCTGTGTTTTGTGGTAATAAGCATTGTGAATAAGTTTCATAACATTTGGTTGAGGCAAACTTAAGTTAGAGAACGGAAACGAAAAATTCAGCAATTTTTCCATTTGTAAAGGGACATAACTCTAGAATGGTAAAAGTGACGCCACCAAAATTCAAACTTGATCTGTGTTTTGTGGTAATGAGCATTGTGTATAAGTTTCATAACATTTGGTTGAGGCAAACTAAAGTTGGAGAGCGGGAAACGAAATATTTAGCAATTCTTCCATTTGTAAAGGGGCATAGCTCTAGAACGGTAAAAGTGACGCCATCAAAATTCAAACATGACATGTGTTTCGTGTTAATAAGCATTGTCAATAAGTTTCATAACATTTGGTTGAGGCAAACTAAAGTTAGAGAACGGAAACAATTTTTCCATTTGTAAAGGGCATAACTCTAGAACAGTAAAAGTCACGCCACCCAAATTCAAACTTGACCTGTGTTTTGTGTTAATAAGCATTGTGTATAAGTTTCATAACATTTGGTTGAGGCAAACTAAAGTTAGAGAATGGAAACCAGTTTTGGGACGTACGGACGGACGTACAGATGGACAAGGCTAAAACTTAATGCCCCCTCCGCTACGGTGGGGGCATAATAAGTATGAACCCCCCCCCCCCCCCCCCCCAACTTTAACACATGTTATTGTCTGGAAAATAGAAAAATGCTTCTTTTTGGCCCCTAATTTCTAAACCTTAAGGGCAATTACCCCTAACTCAATCCCAGCCTTCCCTTTGTGGTATGGAACCTTGTAGAATAATTTCAGAGAGATCCAAACACTTTAACACAAGTTATTGTCTGGAAACTAGAAAAATAAAATTGAGAATGGAAATGGGGAATATGTCAAAGAGACAACAACCCGACCAAAGAGCAGACAACAGCCGAAGGCCACCAATGGGTCTTCAATGCAGCAAGAAAATCCTGCACCCGGAGATGGTCCTCAGCTGGCCCCTAAATAAAATTGTGTGCTAGTTCAGTGAAAATGGACGTCACACTAAACTCCAAAACATATAAATGAACTAAAATTAAAAAACATACAAGACTAACAAAGGCCTGAGGCTCCTGACTTGGGACAGGCGCAAAAATGCGGCGGGGTTAAACATGTTTTGTGAGATCTCAACCCTCCCCCTATACCTCTAGTCAATGTAGAAAAAAGAAACACATAGCAATATGCACAGTAAAACTCAGTTTAAAAGAAGTCCGAGTCCGATGTCAGAATAGGTAACAAAAGAAACTAGGTTAAATGACAATGATACATAAATGAACAAAGGACTACTAGCAGTTACTGACATGCCAGCTCCAACCTCAATTAAACTGATTGAAAGATTAGGTCTTCATCATATGAAAATCAAGAACAATCCCTCCCGTTAGGGGATTAGTATCATACCATCATAAAATATATGAGAAGAACATAACCTGTATCATGCCAACAACTGGTTTTAGAATAAATGTGTTTATTTCCGATGCAAAGACCCTATGAGTGAATCATATTAATACCAAAATATGCAATCCTTAATGACTTGACAACAGTATCGTAACTATATCCTTTCCGAATAAGTCTGTTTAAAGGTTTGGTTAGCTTTAAAGGTGAATGCTGACATTTTTGTGCTTTGTAAAGAATATTACTATATAATATTGGATGTGAAATACCTGAACGTATAAGATGTCTGCATGTTGATTTATATTTACGAATGATGTCCTTGTACCGATGATAAAATTTAGTAAATGTTTTGACTAGTTTATGATATTGAAAACCCTGGTGTAATAATTTTTCAGTAATACAGAGATTTCTTTCGTTGAAATCAAATACGTTGTTGCATACACGAGCGAATCGAACAAGTTGAGAATGCTTGTTTTTGGCCCCTTTTTTGCCCCTTATTCCTGAACGTTAGGGGTGATTACCCCCAAACTCAATCCCAGCCTTCCCTTTGTGATATGGAACCTTGTTGTACAATTTCAGAGAGATCCATACACTTACATCCAAGTTATTGTCTGGAAACTACAAAAATGCCTGTTTTTAGCCCCTAATTCCTAAACTGTTGGTACCATAACCCCCAAATCAATCCCAACCTTGAACCTTCTGGTAAAATTTCATAGAAATCCACCCACTTAAACTAAAGTTATTGTCTGGAAACCAAATGTGTCTTCGAACGACGACAACGACAACGCCGACAACATGATAGCATTATATGAACACAATTGTTTTGCGGTTGTATAAAAAAAAATTCAAGGCTCTTCCAATTTACATATTTGTCAGGTGCTCCACGTACTATTTGTTGATTGTTTATCATTGTCATGATCTGGTAAACTTCGGCAACAAACTCAAAAGTTAATTAGCTTGCGATCAACAATCACTGAATGAAATATTATTTGTCGATAATACGTTATAGATTCGTAATAAATACAAAAAAATGTGCATACAGGACTTAGTTTGGTATATAGGCTTGCATTGGCTCAATAATTTCGATAACATCGAAATTACAAGAAACTCGTTTCATATGACTTAAACGAACAATTTTTAGTCATTTTGATGTATTTGTAAATCTTAACTGCTGATCATTTTTCCTTTAGAAAGTTTCTGTTTATCTAATATTATTTTGGAAAATAATATGCTAAACACACAAAAAAGATGATAAAAATAATCAATAAAGGGCAATAACTTCAATAACTAGTCTACTACTGATTTCGGTCATTTGACTTATTAGTAGATCTTATCTTGCTGATCTTTTTTGCTATATAAAGTTTCTATTTATCTATCAAAATTTTCAAGTTAATAGGCAATAATTAAAACAAGAGTGCACATGCTGAAATGTCTCGCCTTCTTTACTAATCATTGATATTATGTTGATAGTTCTAAATATAAAGCTTTACTACAACTATCATATAAACTTAACATGATCCAAGAAAATGAGGTCAAGGTCATATAAACCAAACAAGAAATACATGTACACCTTACAATCATTCAATACACTAAATATAGTTGACCTATTGCTTATAGTTTCTAAGATACAGACTTAACCAAGAAAACTAAACATTAACTAATGAACCATGAAAATGAGGTCAAGGTCAGATGAACCATGCCAGGCAGACATGTACAGCTTGCAATCCTTCCATACAACAAATATAGTTGGCCTATTGCTTATAGTAATAGAAAAACAGACCAAAACACAAAAAATTTAACACTGAGCTATGAACCGTGAAAATGAGGTCAAGGTCAAATAAAACCGGCCAGACTGACATGTACATCATAAAATATTTCCATACACCAAATATAGTTGACCTATTGCATATAGTATTAGAAAAAAAGACCAAAACTCAAAAATTTAACATTGACCACTGAACCATGAAAATGAGGTCAAGGTCAGAAGACACCTGCCAGCTAGATATGTACTCCTTACCATCATTCCATACACCAAATATAGTAGACCTATTGCATACAGTATAAGAAAAACAGACCAAAACACAAAAACGTAACTATAACCACTGAACCATGAAAATGAGGTCAAGGTCAGATGACACCTGCCAGTTGGACATGTACACCTTACAGTCCTTCCAGACACCAAATATGCTAGACCTATTGCATCTAGTATCTGAGATATGGACTTGACCACCAAAACTTAACCTTGTTCACTGATCCATGAAATGAGGTCGAGGTCAAGTGAAAACTGTCTGACGGGCATGAGGACCTTGCAAAAAATTTGGAAAAAAAATCGTCATTAAAGGGCAATAACTTAAATAAATAGTCTACTACTGATTTCAGTCATTTTTACTTCTAGATCTTTATAATCTTGCTGATCATTAACTCCTCTAAGAAGTTGTCTGACAGTTTTGATGTCAATAGACATTAGGTAGATCTCATCATTAGTGCCATGTCAGATTCTCTCTACATAATGTATCTATATAGCGGTTTTCAAGATTATATTAAAAAAACGATTTTTTTTTAACCCCTATGTTTTATTTTTTGCCATGTCAGCCATGTTTGTTGGCAGACCGGATCATCAGTGGTTCCCAAGGCTTTGAGAAATCAACAGGACATTTGGTCCTGTAAACCATTCTTCTTAACTGGACCAGACTCTTTTTTACAGGACATTTACACATACATGTATGATTTGGACAATATTAAATTTTACTGGTCATTTGGTCCAGTAATGCATATAACTTAACTGGACCAAACCAATTTTTACTGGACTTTGCCAAATGTCCGTCAACCTTGGGAATAACTGATGATCATCTGACACATTTTCTAAACTACACATATCCCATTAACATTGTGGCTAAGTTTGTTTAAATTTGAACAAGTAGTTTCATAGGAGATGATCTTTGTAAAAGTTAACATGGTTAACAGACAAGGATAGACAACTGATGCCAAGTGATGGCAAAAGCTCACTCTGTCCCTTTGGGCTGGGTGAGCTAAAAATTGAAATAATGCATTTGCATTTAAATACATAATTGAAACTTTGGGGACCATACAAAATGTCTAATAATGTGTGTTAAATGCTTATTTTACAATTTTGGCGTCATTATTCTCCATTCAGCTGACAGTTATTGCAGCCATATTGAATAGGGGCAGATTTTTTGGATGGAGGGGAAATTAGTAAAAAAAGTACTGGAAAACCTATGCATGTTTCCAAGCAACTGTTGTGTTTCAATAACGTTTTCACATGTTTTTTCAATGCATTTTCAACTCCATTATGAAAATCTGCCCCTTATTCAATACGGCAGCAATACCCGTGAAAGGGCCAATTTGGAAAGGAATATGAAGTTTTATCAACTTGGCAAAATTAGAAAATTTACAGAGGACAAAAGAGACTGTTGTGAACATCAGGGCAACAAGATATCGCTTAAAAGAATTGGGAAAAGCGACAGACAGGAAAGTCACCCAGTACATGTAGTGTGAGCCCTGATCATGCTGATCATTTATATTGCTATTTTTTTAGATGTATCTTGTATTGTATTGATTATTGTAAACAATAATCAATCAATCAATCAAAAGTATGAACTTTAAACATTATTTTACTGATTCCAATAAAAAAAAAAGTATCAAATACAATTTCAAATATCATATATACGCAATTCCTCCTCTTTATATATTTAATTATATAACAGGACACTGCCTTATATTACCTGATTACGCACTTCGTCCATTTTCAGAGTTTAGGCTTAGTATTATTATTAAGCACATCCATCATATTTATGATGTAAGCTAAAATACCTGCCCCAAATAACTAAGTAGTAAAAGTATGTAAAAAAAAGACGGTGAATGTCTTTGAACTAATCGACTGAAATTTACCTATTTTATGTCACTGGCATTCTTCAATAACACTTGAGTAGGATGTGTATCAGTGAGACTGACTTTGTAACCTAAAAGAAGACACCATAAATAGTGCTTGAATATTTACATGCAAAATATCACTCTCTCAAACGCAAAGGTGATTTACAAAATGCGTGGATGTTCTTTGTCTTTTTCTCTATTTACGAAAGAAAATCTAGAGAACAGTTTCACTTTAAATTCGCATACGCACGTTGGACGCATGGTTGTGAAAGAAGAAATGGTTCTCCTAAGTTCATGTTCCCCTCCAGATGAGGGGATACGAAAAAAGCAGGAAAATACGTCAGCATTTGTTGGCGAAAAAGCACTTGGGAAAGGCACGCTGTTTATTGCAGAAAGGTTGCTATCAAAGTCAAAATTTGGATATATATAGTCTTGTGTTAGACCGAATAATCTGTTTCTTGTGTGGTTACATTTGTCATTTCATATTTTCTTTTTATCATTTATACATGGTATACAGTATACCTCAAAGGAGATATTGGAGAAGTTATGACAGTCTTTTTTTAATTCATTGACATTCGGAAACTTCAACATGTTCAACCTGTCAACTGACCCATAGATATAATAGCTATAGATAAAGTACTCAGAATTTGTCACACTGAGCCCCATGTAGTTTCCTTTGAAATATCAAAAGCACGGCACTGCCCGTAGTGGCCTATGATGTAGATGATATTTTCCGACATCCTCCCAATAGACTAATTACTTATAATTATATTTAAGGTTCATGTGGACCCTTCGTCTAAAATGGCTGCATTTTCACCTCAAAATTTACTCTGAGTACAGACAAACCTGTGCATCTGGAAAAGTTTTAAGGCATAGCATGCCCTAGATAAATAAAATTCAAATATATTTTATGTTTTAGAAAATTAAAAACTTAACCGGATTTTGCAGTGCACTTTTTTTCATTCCTCCAGAAGGTGCCAAAATAAACTAAGTTGGGAAAGAGGTTTGAGAACTTCCCCACAGGTAATAATTGAAGTGAACTGTTTTGATTGACATGGACAATAGATGGACAATAGATACCTGACAATAATTGGTGATTTAAACTGTGTATCTGAGTGGACCATATCAAGTGAAACTCAACTGTTTGTTAATTTTATCATCTTCTGCAGGGACGAAAAAAAGTGTACTGCTAAATCCAGTTAAGTTTTTAATTTTCTAAAACATACCATGCATTAGAAGTTTATTTATCTAGGGCATGCTATGCCTTAAAACTTTTCCAGATGCGCAGGTTTGTCTGTACTCAGAGTAAATTTTGAGGTGAAAATGCAGCCATTTTAGCCAAAGGGTCCACATGAACCTTAAATTATCAGGCACTCGTCTTATCAACCGATAATTAATATGCGTTACCTGTCTCAAGTAATAATATGCCGTGACGCTGAAGCAAAAAAAAAGTGTCTGGTTGTAAAAGTTGTTCGGATTGTAACTTATTTGGAGAAAATCGGTCAACAAATGAAAAGGTTATGCTGTTGTTGAAATAATAAAATTGAGAAATCATGGAAAATGGACTTAACAGGCATGTAAAATTAAATTGTCATAGCACTTGCATCGGTTGCACTCAGGAAATAAGACCTGTATGATTGACAAGAGGAGACATATCGTTTACTGATGGTATACATGTTTAAGAGGTCGAACCTAGTCGAATTTTTCTATGGCGAGTTAAAGAAATTTCTTTCTTATCGAGATTCAAAATAGTGTTATCATATTTTATGCCAGAAAGAAGAAATTATTATTTTTTTAGAAAAGAAAAAAGATTTTTACAAGTGTTGAAACTTTCTGTCGTAACAGGAAGTTTTAGAAAATAAAGAGAAAAAAAGGAATACATTATAAACTAATTAAACGCCGTTTGGTGAAGAAAACGTATGTAGTGGACACACTGAATACATTAAATAATATGGAAATAGCAAAATTATGTCTCTGAATTTGTTTCTTCTATATACCTTTCCGCTTACCATTTTTGTGCTTGTTTTGCTATTAAATAGATGGTGGTATAATCTGATTGTTGATTTCATTTTTGAAGTAAACAATATACATGTATATAGATTAAGGGTTATAATGGCTATGATAAAATGAAAATATAGGAGTTTTCTCCTGTGTCATTCATGTTTTTTTCCCTTCCTTCTTACAAGGAATTGTATATTTAAAAGGAATGGAAACGCGGCTCGAGATCAATCGGGATACCCGCAGAGCACCCGCAGAGCTATAATCCATGTCTGTCTCAGTCGGAAGTATGATGAATAATATAAAGAATCATAAAGAATCATGACGGAGGTCCATTTCCTGTCATATAGATCGGTCTTTTAATTCACAGGGTCATCTTGCTTCAGAAGATATAAAGGAGAGAGAAACCCAAAATCAAGAATAAATTTTTTAATCCATGAAAAAGGCAAGGCCTTAGGTATCATTTTAATGCCTCATCAAACATACGTTTGTAATATTGTATTATGTAAATTCTCATTAAAATAGACCTTGGTCTTGAAACTTGAGCGAGTTTCATCCGGATTACAAAACAAAAAATACTGTGTTTTGATTTTTTTCTAAAAGCTCGACAACTACGAAGTGCAAAACAAAACAGTTGATATCATTATGAAGCTGAAACCTTATTCTATCATTTAGCCCATTTTTTAAGTTTCTAGTAGAATTTCTGAATTTTCTACGATTTTTCGAAATTTCAGTTTTGAATTTCATTATTCTGTCAAAATATGTCTATCAATCTGGGAGTGTACTACGATTTCTTTTAAATATTGGAAAGTAGAAAGAACAAAGTAAGAAAATGAGATATCATTTTAAAGAAGGAATATTTTCCTACAGATTGGTCTAAATTACGAACGCTAAATGTAATTGGTACAATGTAAATGATTTTATTTCGAAACATGTTGAAATCTTGAAGTAGTGCGTCAATAAATACATCGACACTTCGTATTTTGGTAAGGGTTAAATAACTACTTGAAATAGATGTGACATTGACATACAACTTAAAAGCTTAATCTTTTTTCTATCACATAGTGTTGGTTTTATGAAAATGGTGATCAAAACGAATTTGCTATGATTTTTCAAAATCCCATGTTTATAGTTCACATTGACGCCCTTTTGTTCAGTCAAGTTCCACACCGACGAAGTCAGAAATTACAGGCAAGAAATGTATATAAGACTTCCGATTGAGATTGATTGTGCCGTTTTATACACGATTTTAATCATTTATCTTTTGTCAAATACTATTTTTATACTTAATCGTTGTTTGGTATTGTAGTTTGCCATTATTAAGCTTTGCAGCAAATTACCACAAGCTTAAAAGCAAAACAGTTCCTTCCTTTTTTTGCTAGAAGAGCAGTAGTCTAGAGGTCGCAAAATATTCCTTCGGTGTTAAAATAAATAATATGCGAATGTCGGAAAGTTTTAACTGTTTCTAATTAAAAAAATTATTGCACCACGGCATAATTTAGCATTTATTAACAGGTGAGCTCGGCGTGATTTCTTTTTGACACCTTAAATCAGGGACAGCCTATAGTTAGTACAAAAATGTATACACTGTTCCTGCTTAAATATATATACAACAAAAATTAGCTGTTCAATGATACATGCTAGATTATACCTGCAAATTTGATATCCCATACCGGTGTTTATTATAACACCTATTATCTAAGTTCTTTTATCTAGACAAAATACTACATCTGTTCACGTACTTCTTCCTTTATACTTTTCTATACCAGTCATATTCCAAAATTGAAAAGTTATTTTTTAACTTTTTGCATTACCTTAAATCTTTTTAAAAACTCGTATAATGTCAGATTTCAACTATTAATTGATCTTAATTGTTGCATACCATCGTGAAATATCAAGAGGAGGTACAAGAAAAAAATGTTTTTCAGAAGTAACTTTGTTTAAGGTTGTATTTTTTGTTTATTTCATTTAAGGAATTGTATATCTAAATAGACAATTTCTTGTTTCATTTCATGATTAAATGACCAAGTTCGATAACTACTGCCAGATAAGTAATTAGCCAGTTAGGGCGACGGGATGTAATTAACACACCACCCAAGTCAGAGATGCATCATACAATTTTCTTTGAAGTCGGCCGCGTTTCCATTCCTTTTAAACATATAATTCCTTGCTTCTTACAATTGTGTTAGAGGTGTGATTTGTACTATAAATACAGCTATATATCCCTTCCGGCGCGGGATGTTTGCGCTTTTTCATAGGACGTTTGTGCTTTTTTAAATGGACATTTGCACTTCAATTCATAGGACATTTGCGCTTTTGAAAAAAGGACATTTGCGCTTTTACAATATTTACTTCTCATGACGTCCCTCCTATTTTATCCAAGCTTTGGACCTGGCAGAGTTAAAAAAAGTCGTTTTTTAATATGGTTAAAAGTCATTACGTATAGCACATTCGTGTGTTTAAAAGTCTCCCGATTCACAATTTATTAGATATCGATCGACGGCAATTGCCAACGAAGGCTAATTAACACCAAGCATGACATGTATATAATAAGAGGGTGATAAAATTTCGGCATATATCGTCTGCTTTTGATGTGGGTCCAGTACTTTATCTATGGCTATTATATCTATGACTGACCTAATATAATCTAATCTAACTTACATTTAAACCCCCTTGTAGTGGAACCATGTTTTCATATGTAGGACTAACCTGATTATAATTTCCATGTTCATTGCTTGCTAAAGCTGTTGAAAAAAAAGTATATGTATGAGGTTAGGATGCACAGTCAGGGATAGTCCGAGATTACTCTGACGTCCAACGGCTGTTTTGCCAGACAAGCTAGGGCCTAGGGACGTCAGAGCTTCTCACATCAAAAAGTGGATATTTGCCCGTCCAAAATAGATGCGCTGCTTCGTCGCTTCTGGTGCCAACGGACGGCCTTGGAATTATATAAATCGGGTATCAATTTGTTCATTTTTCATTTATCTCTTCATTTATGTAAGTTTCACCTACGTGCCACCCTTTATTTTCTCATATTTAGACAGTTTTCACAGTGACCCACCAATTCTGGCATTTTGACTTTCATTTTGAAAGATTGTCATGTGATCACGAGAAAAAAGTAAGGCACAATGGACTATGGGAAATGATGTATGCATATGACCCTAGGTCAATATGAATATATAATCTATTCTGAGAAGGAATAACTGCATGTACTGCAAACAAGATTCAAGAGATTTGTAAACAAAAAAACATGATACGACACCAACAAATTCATGCGACGATGTCTATATATGATTGGGAATTTTAGAGCTGAAAATTGGGAAAAAAGAGCATATTTCTCTTTGGGATTGGGGCCCAAACTTGGACCCAAAAAGAGGGTTGGAAAATCCCTGATTACAGATACTTTCATGAGTTGTCTACTCTTTAATCCTTAAATTTTCTAAATCTGTAGTAACATATGTTTGTTATTTGTTAAATAAATCATAAAATATTTTAACTTTTAGTGGGCATTTGGGAATTCTTGAAACTTTGCGCAGAAACTAAATACATCAACCATGGTAAATCAATGAGACAAGGCTTTTAAGGGATAAACTTAGCTGTAATAACAAGGATTAGTTATTAAAGGCATGTAACTTATTATATGAGACACTTGGGAATTACTTGGAAGCTTGTGCAGAACCTCATTACATGCCTTGATCATTATTTCTTACAATAAATTAAAATACATTGTGATTAAACATGATTTATGTCTTAGCAAAGGCTTTGAAGGGATGTAGAGAAGCTGTAATAACATAGGTGTACTATGCATGATTGACAAACTATGAACTGTTATATCTTTCTATAGTTTAGTATACATAAAGACAATGATAATATCAATAGAACTTGTATACATTTTAACAAAACAAATGATGTATATTGGCCCTTTGAAACATGTAACATACATATGTTATCACAGTTCTTTGATTTTTTAGTCCACAATAACAAATGTATGTTATTTTTCTGTAATAACCCTATAAAGTTATAGTCTTGACTGATGCAGGCTATCCCACTCCTGATGGCTGTAACTCTTCGACAAAAAACATCACAAATCCAGGATTTTGAATGGCGCTCTCTTAATGAGAAAGCCAATTAGCTGATAGCTTAATGTCTCCTTGATATTATTATATAAAGGGCAGAGCCAATCATGCTTTCAAGTTTGTTTTTTTGGGGATTGCTTGAAATATATAAATCAAAACCCTATTGCCATATATATGTTGATCCAAATATTTCCCAGGCTTCATCTCTACCTTTGTGTGGTGAACAGTCTTTAAAAGAATATATTAAGGTTCATCAAAAGGAATTGAAAAATATGGCCGTGTTTACACCACAAAATTTACTCTGAGTACAGACAAACCGATGCACCTAGGAAAGTTTTTAGGCATGGCTGGACCTGGATATATATAAAAGTTTTTTCCAGTGTGCAGAAGATGGCCAAATAAACTAACAATTGAGTTTCATTTGATAGGGTCCACTCAGTTACAGAGTTTAAATCACCTATTGTTTGCAGATATCTATTGTCCATTTAAATCAATACAACTCACTACATTCATTGTATGAGGGGAGCTTCTCAGACCTCTCTCCCAACTAAGTATATTTTGGTACCTTCTGCAAGAATGAAAAAAAATGAATGGCAAAATCCAGTTAAGTTTTTGATATTCTGAAACTTAAAATGCATTTAAATTGTATATATCTAGGTCTAGCCATGCTCTAAAACTTTTCCAGATGTACAGAATTGTGTGTACCATGTGTACCCAGAGTGAAATTTGTGTAGTAATATTACGGCCATATTTATAAATAAAAGGTTACCACGAACCTTAAAGTACGTGTCAAGCATTTTATTATCTTAAATGTATGTGTCAAGCAATTTATTAAATTAAATGATATATATATATGTATATAAAATGAGTGAATAATAGCCAATGATAAATCTTACGGGGCGATGGATCATATAAATATGATACAGTACACTACAAAATATAATATATAACCAGTCTAAAAGGGTACAACATCACCAAAAAATGACAATAAACGAACAAATGTAACTATAAATATTTGGGATAACAGATATCCTTCATCAGTATGAGCACAATGTAAAATGAATCAGATCAATCTATTCTGATTATTAAACTATAGCAATCTTGAATTCTATACAATAAAAAAAGTGAAACAGTTTCTCCCAAACATCATATGTAGAGATGCTAATAAATTTTTAAAATTTCCAAAAAACGACTCAAAGACATGCCTAAAATGAAAATAGCAATTAGAGATATGAACTGGCACAACTCAAAAATTCCAAAATGACGTCAGTTAAGAAGTTACAACAACTGCATGTAAATACATTCCCAAAAAAACATATAAGCTGGTAAAATATGTCAAACAGAGGCTGCGTATTTATCATCCCAAATAAATAGCAGTTTTATAATGAAAAGAAAAAATAATAGTAAATTTGGGCTAAGGTTAAAAAATTCCTCCTTTTATTCTGTATAAATTAATTTTCAGAATGCTATATATATATTTTTTTTTTATGAAGCAAACTCTTAAAAACTCAGCTAATATTGTCCATTTATAAATAAATAAATTAAATTCTTGGTGTACTTGGATATACTGAATCTAACTGCATATTTAGATTTTGGATATTGGACCATAATAGGTAAAAGTCCAATTTCAAATTTTTCAGTTCTTTGACGACATTCATTCTGTGTCAGAAACCTATGCTGTGTCAAATATTTAATCGCAATCCAAATTCAGAGCTGTATCAAGCTTGAATGTAGTGTCCATACTTGCCCCAACTGTACAGGGTTCAACCTCTGCAGTCGTATCAATCCTCACCCCACAGATCATTTAAAAAAAAAATTTGGCATGACAGAGTGCAGAACATGAAGGACAAGGATTTTCTCTTACAGCACCTCATCATAGTCATTCATATATTTTTTCTAGTTGTTTTTCAATGACAGAACTCAGAACATGAAGGTCAAGGATTTTCTCTTACAATATTCCATTATAGTCTGCCATAATTTTTTTCAGTTGTTTGTCATGGCAGAGCTCAGAACATTAAGATCAAGGATTTTCTCTTACAATATCCCATTATAGTCTGCCATAATTTTTTTCAGTTGTTTGTCATGGCAGAGCTCAGAACATTAAGATCAAGGATTTTCTCTTACAGTATCCCATTATAGTCTGCCATAATTTTTTTCAGTTGTTTGTCATGGCAGAGTTCAGAACATGAAGGTCAAGGATTTTCTCTTACAGTATCCCATTATAGTCTGCCATAATTTTTTTCAGCTGTTTGTCATGGCAGAGTTCAGAACATGAAGGTCAAGGATTTTCTCTTACAGTATCCCATTATAGTCTGCCATAATTTTTTTCAGTTGTTTGTCATGGCAGAGTTCAGAACATGAAGGTCAAGGATTTTCTCCTACAGTATCCCATTATAGTCTGCCATAAATTTTTTTCAGCTGTTTGTCATGGCAGAGTTCAGAACATGAAGGTCAAGGATTTTCTCCTACAGTATCCCATTATAGTCTGCCTTAATTTTTTTCAGTTGTTTGTCATGGCAGAGTTCAGAACATGAAGGTCAAGGACTTTCTCTTACAGTATCCCATTATAGTCTGCCATAATTTTTTTCAGTTGTTTGTCATGGCAGAGTTCAGAACATGAAGGTCAAGGATTTTCTCTTACAGTATCCCATTATAGTCTGCCATAATTTTTTTTTCAGTTGTTTGTCATGGCAGAGCTCAGAACATGAAGGTCAAGGATTTTCCCTACAGTATCCTGGTATAAGTATACATGCTGTATCCAGAGATTTAACAGCCTTTCCACATGAATGTTTATATTTGATGGTTGAGGGAGATTTAACTGGTAAACATCACTAAATATTATTGGTTAATTAGATATAGATTTGATCAAATTTCGAAGCATTACACTATTTCTGATGGCTTATGATTTACCATATATTTCAACAACCAATTGAGAATTTTTGTAGTTTGCTTTTTTAATATCATGATTACAATATCAGTCTTCACTACGCTGTACTGACAAAACAGATTAAACACTTATCAGGGCATTAAAGTTTGTTTTGGTGTTTAAAAAAAAACAAATATTGTATGGCCAGAATAGCCAGTAAACCCTAAACCAACTGTCAACTATGTGAATGTTTATTGTGGTAGTAGTGTTTTCTATGTAACTATAAAGATGTGTTTATAGTTCTGTAACATTTTCATTTTATATGAGATTATTTTTTAAGGAAAGGATCAATTTTTTCAGAAATTATCTGGCCTTAATAAGAATCTAGGAAATTGATCTTGTTTAAAGTTCACGCTGGAGATCAGGACAAAAAAAGTGCACAAATTTTGAACAGCAGTCATTCTAAAAAATTGGACATATTCAAGAAAAATAGCAGTATAATATATATGTAAGGCAGTACAGTTTATGTAAAAAGAGATGTCTTTAGGAAGGAAAAAATTAGTTTTCCTCAGAAAAAAAAAACAAATTCCATGTTTTCAACCGATTATAAAAACTAATACAATTTTAGATATCTGATAACATACTTTTGTCTCTACATCCTTTCAATTAAAGAAAGCTTTTGAAGTGCTTGGTAGTTGACAAGCTTTTAAAGTGTTTGGTATTAATATAATTGTCAATTTTACTAATTTTTGCGTTTTTTGCTAATCTCTTAATCTTTTAACAGATAGAAACTGTAAACAGCAAAAATGATCAGCAAACTAAGACCTTATTAAATATGACTGATATTATCAAACATCTTCTAAAGGAGTTTTTTCCCTTTAATGACTGTTTTTACCTATTTTGCATAATAGATAGAATGAAAAAAGCGAAATCATAGCTAGATAAGATCTATAAATAGGCAAACATAATGGGTAAAGATGAAAATGAATATCTTAATTGCATATATTTGCCAGGTGAGCAATAAGGGGTCTTATGTATTGATCATGTTGATGTTAATAACAAAATCTATAAAACGGATCATTATTCTAAAATTGAGAATAGAAATGGGGAATGTGTCAAAGAGACAACAACCCAACCAAAGAGCAGAAAACAGCCGAAGGCCACCAATGGGTCTTCAACACAGTGAGAAAATCCCACACCAGGAGGCGGGCTTCAGCTGGCACCTAAAACAAAAATGTGTACTAGTTCAATGAAAATGGAAATCACACTAAACTCCAAAACATATAAATGAACTAAAATTAAAAAACATACAAGACTTACAAAGGCCAGAGGCTCCTGACTTGGGACAGGCGCAAAAATGCGGCAGGGTTAAACTTGTTTTGTGAAATCTCAACCCTCCCCCTATACCTCTAGCCAATGTAGAATAAACAAACACACAGCAATACGCACAGTAAAACTCAGTTTAAAAGAAGTCTGAATCCCATGTCAGAAAAGGTAACAAAAGAAACTAAGCAAAATGACGATACATAAATTAACAAAGGACTACTAGCAGATACTGACATGCCAGCTCCAGACCTCAATTAAACTGATTGAAAGATTATGTCTTCATCATATGAAAATCAAGCACAATCCCTCCCGTTAGGGGTTTAGTATCATACCATCATAAAATATATGAGTAGAACATAACCCGTATCATGCCAACAACTGGTTTTAGAATAAATGTGTTTATTTTCGATGCAAAGACCCTATGAGTGAATCAATATTAATACCAAAATATTGCCATCTTTAATGACCTGACACAGTATCGTAACTATATCCCTTCTAAATAAGTCTGTTTAAAGGTTTGGTTAGCTTTTGAGGTGAATGTCGACATTTTTGTACTTTGTTTAGAATTTTACCATAAAAGATTGGATGTGAAATACCTGAATGTATAAGATGTTTGATAAAGGAGTTTAAGTTTGATTTTTTTCTCCAAATTAAAGTTGTATGACAAATATGATGATATATTACTGTAGATGATGCTAACAGAGAGGATGAAGAATCAGATGATGAAGATATTGACCCATCAACAGAGATGAGATTTGTACCAGACGATAAAACTGTTTGTATGTACACTAAATTCTTACGGATATCTGTACTATAAATGGAAAATTTTATTTAAATTTTCATATTTTGATTTGTGTATTTTTATTTAATACTTGCTTGTCTGTCATATTTGGGGTGTTTCTTTTTATGCCCCCGCCGTAGCGGAGGGAGCATTAAGTTTTACCCTTGTCTGTCTGTACGTACGTCCCAAAATTGGTTTCCGTTCTCTAACTTTAGTTTGTCTCAACCAAATGTTATGAAACTTATACACAATGCTTATTACCACAAAACACAGATTAAATTTGAATTTTGGTGGCGTCACTTTTACTGTTCTAGAGTTATGCCCCTTTACAAATGGAAAATTGCTGAATTTATCGTTTCCGTTCTCTAACTTTAGTTTGCCTCAACCAAATGTTATGAAACTTATACACAATGGTAATTACCACAAAATACAGATCAAGTTTGAATTTTGGTGGCGTCACTTTTACCGTTCTAGAGTTATGCCCCTTTACAAATGGAAAAATTGCTGAATTTTTCGTTTCTGTTCTCTAACTTTAGTTTGCCTCAACCAAATGTTATGAAACTTATCCACAATGCTTAATATCACAAAACACAGATCAAGTTTGAATTTTGGTGGTATCACTTTAACCGTTCTAGAGTTATGCCCCTTTAGAAATGGAAAAATTGCTAAATTTTTATTTTCTTCTAAATATCATCAAGTTATTTTTAAAATTGGAGTTATCTTTCTTTTTCCACGATTATAGTTGAATCAACTACAATCAATGCTTTATACAATGCAATGTTTAATTTTGACTTCCACTGATAAAACACAGATCAAGTTGAATTTGGGTAGTGTTGCTTTAACCATTATTGAGTTATGCCCCTTTATAAATCGAAAGATTGCAAAATTTTTAGTTTCCATTCTGTAACTTAAGTTTGCCCGGACCAAACATTATGAAACCTATACACAATATTCATTACCACAAAACTAAGATCAAGTACAAATTTTTTGTTTCCGTTTTCTAACTTTAGTTTGCCTCGACCAAATGTTATGAAACTTATACACAATGCTTATTACTACATAATACAGATTAAGTACGAAATTTGGTGGCAACACTTTTACCATTCTTGAGTTATGTCCCTTTATAAACATAAAAATTGCTGAATTTTTCGTTTCCGTTCTCTAAAGTTAGACTCAACCAAATGTTATGAGACTTACACACAGTGCTTATTACCACAAAACTCAGATCAAGTTCAAATTTGGGTAGCGTCACTTTTACCATTCTTCAGTTATGTCCCTTTATAACTATATGATATGCAAGCGGGGGTGTCCACATGTGGACACTATCCACATTTATTTCAATAAGAAGTCCTTTGGTCTTTCAGTGGATCAGTTATATAAAGCCATGTCAGATTTTATATACCTCTCTTTTTCAGTAGATCAGTATTATTTAGCCCTGTCAGATTTTAAATATACTGTGGATTCATTTATTTTCGTGGATAGAGAAAAAAAGACGTTTCGTGGTATACGCAAATTCGTGGATCGCTGATTACAAAAAAAAAAAAATCAGATACGTAATTCGTGGATTTCTTTTTGATTTATAAAATTAAATAACCTCCTTGGTTTGATCAATAAAAAAACAAACAAAAAAATAGGAATTCATTGAAAAAGTTTTGAATTGTCCAAATCCTCGCTTGGTCATGCTAGGTTAAAGTGTTCATTGAAAACTTCTATTACAATAATGGGCAGAGACAAATTATTTGTTTGTTTTACAATTTATAAATTCTTGTCGGAATTTTATAAGGCATTCAAAACTCTTTTGATTGAAAGCTCATTTCCCTAATCACGATATAATTAACAGTCATATAAGTTAAAGGTGTGAAAATAAATGTTCCTGTCATAAACAATAATACCTACGGGCAATATCCCCGTACTTAATCCTATTGATTTTTAATCACCAGTAAACCAAACTATGACACGGTAATAAACAACTTGCAGTTATTTTTTTTTAACAGTTTTTAACCAATTTTAAAAAGTAAATTATCACTGATATTCGATATATTTATTATTGATTTTATCAAAATACTTGTATCTTATTTCAATAAAAACACGTGTTATGTTAAAATGTTTATCGCTAGTCAACACTATACTAGAACTGCATAACATAACCGGAAATAAACATCCGACTCCATACACATTTCTCAGGATTATTCTTCGTTGAATTCTTAAATTCATGGTTCGCTGTGACCCACGAAACCCACGAAAATTGGTATACCACGAATAAAAATGAATCCACAGTACCTCTCTTTTTCAGTGGACCAGTTGTATAAAGCCATGTCAGATTATATATACCTCTCTTTCAGTGGACCAGTTGTATAAAGCCATGTCAGATTATATATACCTCTCTTTCAGTGGACCAGTTATATAAAGCCATGTCAGATTATATATACCTCTCTTTCAGTGGACCAGTTGTATAAAGCCATGTCAGATTATATATACCTCTCTTTCAGTGGACCAGTTATATAAAGCCATGTCAGATTATATATACCTCTCTTTCAGTGGATCAGTTGTATAAAGCCATGCCAGATTATATATACCTCTCTTTCAGTGGACCAGTTGTATAAAGCCATGTCAGATTATATATACCTCTCTTTCAGTGGACCAGTTGTATAAAGCCATGTCAGATTATATATACCTCTCTTTCAGTGGACCAGTTGTATAAAGCCATGCCAGATTATATATACCTCTCTTTCAGTGGACCAGTTGTATAAAGCCATGCCAGATTATATATATACCTCTCTTTCAGTGGACCAGTTGTATAAAGCCGTGTCAGATTATATATACCTCTCTTTCAGTGGACCAGTTGTATAAAGCCATGTCAGATTATATATACCTCTCTTTCAGTGGACCAGTTGTATAAAGCCATGTCAGATTATATATACCTCTCTTTCAGTGGACCAGTTGTATAAAGCCATGTCAGATTATATATACCTCTCTTTCAGTGGACCAGTTGTATAAAGCCATGCCAGATTATTTATACCTCTCTTTCAGTGGACCAGTTGTATAAAGCCATGCCAGATTATATATACCTCTCTTTCAGTGGACCAGTTGTATAAAACCATGTCAGATTATATATACCTCTCTTTCAGTGGACCAGTTGTATAAAGCCATGTCAGATTATATATACCTCTCTTTCAGTGGACCATTGTATAAAGCCCTGCCAGATTATATATACCTCTCTTTCAGTGGACCAGTTGTATAAAGCCATGTCAGATTATATATACCTCTCTTTCAGTGGACCAGTTGTATAAAGCCATGTCAGATTATATATACCTCTCTTTCAGTGGACCAGTTGTATAAAGCCATGCCAGATTATATATACCTCTCTTTCAGTGGACCAGTTGTATAAAGCCATGCCAGATTATATATACCTCTCTTTCAGTGGACCAGTTGTATAAAGCCATGTCAGATTATATATACCTCTCTTTCAGTGGACCAGTTGTATAAAGCCATGTCAGATTATATATACCTCTCTTTCAGGGGACCAGTTGTATAAAGCCATGTTAGATTTTATCCAATATACCTCTCTTTCAGTGGAGCAGTTATATAAAGCCATATCAGATTTTATTCAATATACCTCTCTTTTTCAGTGGATCAGTTGTATTAACCCATGTCAGATTTTATATATCTCTCTTTCAGTGGATCAGTTATATAAAGCCATGTCAGATTTTATATCTCTCTTTTTTTCAGTGGATCAGTTATATAAAGCCATGTCAGATTTTATCCAATATACCTCTCTTTCAATGGATCAGTTATATAAAGCCATGCCAGATTTTATATACCTTTATATCAATGGACAAGTTGTATAAAGCCATGTTCGATTTTATCCAATATACCTCTCTTTCAGTGGACCAGTCATATAAAGCCATATCAGATTTTATTCAATATACCTCTCTTTTTCAGTGGATCAGTTGTATTAACCCATGTCAGATTTTATATATCTCTCTTTCAGTGGATCAGTTATATAAAGCCATGTCAGATTTTATATCTCTCTTTTTTTCAGTGGATCAGTTATATAAAGCCATGTCAGATTTTATCCAATATACCTCTCTTTCAATGGATCAGTTATATAAAGCCATGCCAGATTTTATATACCTTTATATCAATGGACAAGTTGTATAAAGCCATGTTCGATTTTATCCAATATACCTCTCTTTCAGTGGACCAGTCATATAAAGCCATATCAGATTTTATTCAATATACCTCTCTTTTTCAGTGGATCAGTTGTATTAACCCATGTCAGATTTTATATATCTCTCTTTCAGTGGATCAGTTATATAAAGCCATGTTAGATTTTATATTACTCTTTTTCAGTGGATCAGTTATTAAAAGCCATGTCAAATTTTATATTACTCTTTTTCAGTGGATCAGTTATAAAAAGCCATGTCAAATTTTATTCAATATACCTCTCTCTTTCAGTGGATCAGTTATATAAAGCCACGTCAGATTTTATATACCTCTCTTTTTCAGTGGATCAGTAATATTAAGCCACGTCAGATTTACATATACCTTTCTTTTTCAGAGGACCAGTTATATAAATCCATGTCGGATTTTATTCAGTATACCTTTCTTTTTCAGTGGACCAGTTATATAAAGCCATGTCAGACTGTCAGATATTGCATCCGGATGAAGATGATTCAGATTTTGATGGTAAATGTTGTAGACAATATTTGTTTTTAAATAGTCACTAAGCATATGGTTTTACCCCAGTTTGTGTTTCTGTTATGTAAGGACAAATATGAGCTAGCCATCACTTGCCAATTGTCATCCATCATCAAAAATTGCTACTTCAGGTTGACCTTTTTAATGGTCATATGTCTTCCAACCTAACGCAAAAGACCTAATGGTTTTATGATGAACCAGGATGAATTTTTAGCAAAGGTCAAAATCTAGAATCTCTAATTGACGGTTGACCTTGCCTTCAATTACAAGGTCATAGGTCATGGATGTCAAATCGAAAGACTCCAGTTCATTCACATGTATGGTTGAGGACAGGGTTTCCGCTGGTGGTCGCCATTTTCGCATTTTGCGAAAAAAATAAAAATTGTGGCGATTAATTTCCTTACTGGCAAAAGACTTTGGCGAAAGAACTATATTATGAATAAATATCATTTAATAGCCAAAAATCTATATGACAAGTAAAAAAATAACATTTCAGACGGCAGAAGAAAAAAAAATAATCAGAACAAAAACAAAAGACCTTTCCAAGAAAAGTGGAAAGACCTAATTGAATAACAAAATATTTAAATGTATGGTGATTGTCTTTTAAAAAACATCTTATATCAGCTGACCATGGAAACTTAGGGAGAGGTCAATCTCATATCAGCTGAACATGTAACTTTAGTGAGAGGTCAATCTTATTTATATCAGCTGACCATGTAAACTGAGGCAGAGGTCAATCTTATATCAGCTGACCATGTAAACTTAGGGGGATGTCAATCTTATATCAGCTGACCATGTAAACTTAGGGAGGGGTCCATCTTGTATCAGCTGACCAATTTATGTTGGGAAGGGGGTCCATCTTATATCAGCTGACCATGTTATTTTGGGGAGGGATCCACATAATATTAGCATACAATCAAGCTGAATAATTTACCATATTTATACATTATTTCCTACCAAGGTATCTTAAATATCTTGATGTACCCTGTGGCCATCTAAATATTGTTATTGTTTTTGCATTTAACAATGAGATTGTCTGACAAATTATGTTAATAATTGTTATTAACATGTAGAAAAGAATTATTCTCAAATGGCTGCTAGGGTCTAACTAAAACTTGCAGTGAGGTGTGATCTCTTGTTCCATGTTGATGTTCTTTCTGTGATTATGAAAAAGCACTGTTCATAGGGTTCGTCTTGAACTTGCAGTGAGGTGTGATCTCTTGTTCCATGTTGATTTCTTTCTGTGATTATGAAAAAGCACTGTTTATAGGGTTCGTCTTGAACTTGCAGTGAGGTGTGATCTCTTGTTCCATGTTGATGTTCTTTCTGTGATTATGAAAAGGCACTGCTCATAGGGTTTGTCTTGAACTTGCAGTGAGGTGTGATCTCTTGTTCCATGTTGAAGTCTTTTGTGTGATTATGAAAAAGCAATGTTCATAGGGTTTGTCTTGGACTTGCAGTGAGGTATAATCTCTTGTTCCATGTTGATGTTCTTTCTGTGATTATGAAAAGGCACTGTTCATAGGGTTTGTCATGAACTTGCAGTGAGGTGTGATCTCTTGTTCCATGTTGATGTTCTTTCTGTGATTATGAAAAGGCACTGTTCATAGAGTTTGTCTTGAACTTGCAGTGAGGTGTGATCTCTTGTTCCATGTTGATGTTCTTTCTGTGATTATGAAAAGGCACTGTTCATAGGGTTTGTCTTGAACTTGCAGTGAGGTGTGATCTCTTGTTCCATGTTGATGTTCTTTGTGCAATTATGAAAAAGCACTGTTCATAGGGTTTGTCTTGAACTTTCAGTGAAGTGTGATCTCTTGTTCCATGTTGATGTTCTTTCTGCGATTATGAAAAGGCACTGTTCATAGGGTTTGTCTTGAACTTGCAGTGAGGTGTGATCTCTTGTTCCATGTTGATGTTCTTTCTGTGATTATGAAAAGGCACTGTTCATAGGGTTTGTCTTGAACTTGCAGTGAGGTGTGATCTCTTGTTCCATGTTGATGTTGTTTGTGTGATTATGAAAAGGCACTGTTCATAGGGATTGTCTTGAACTTGCAGTGAGGTGTGATCTCTTGTTCCATGTTGATGTTCTTTCTGTGATTATGAAAAGGCACTGTTCATAGGGTTTGTCTTGAACTTGCAGTGAGGTGTGATCTCTTGTTCCATGTTGATGTTCTTTCTGTGATTATTAATAAGCACTGTTCATAGGGTTTGTCTTGAACTTGCAGTGAGGTGTGATCTCTTGTTCCATGTTGATGTTCTTTTTGTGATAATGAATAAGCACTGTTCATAGGGTTTGTCTTGAACTTGCAGTGAGGTGTGATCTCTTGTTCCGTGTTGATGTTCTTTGTGCGATTATGAAAAAGCACTGTTCATAGGGTTTGTCTTGAACTTGCAGTGAGGTGTGATCTCTTGTTCCATGTTGATGTTCTTTCTGTGATTATGAAAAGGCACTGTTCATAGGGTTTGTCTTGAACTTGCAGTGAGGTGTGATCTCTTGTTCCATGTTGATGTTCTTTCTGTGATTATGAATAAGCACTGTTCATAGGGTTTGTCTTGAACTTGCAGTGAGGTGTGATCTCTTGTTCCATGTTGATGTTCTTTGTGTGATTATGAAAAAGCACTGTTCATAGGGATTGTCTTGAACTTGCAGTGAGGTGTGATCTCTTGATCCATGTTGAAGTCTTTTGTGTGATTATGAAAAAGCACTGTTCATAGGGTTCGTCTTGGACTTGCAGTGAGGTATAATCTCTTGTTCCATGTTGATGTTCTTTCTGTGATTATGAAAAGGCACTGTTCATAGGGCTTGTCTTGAACTTGCAGTGTGGTGTGATCTCTTGTTCCATGTTGATGTTCTTTCTGTGATTATGAAAAGGCACTGTTCATAGGGTTTGTCTTGAACTTGCAGTGTGGTGTGATCTTTTGTTCCATGTTGATGTTCTTTCTGTGAATATGAAAAGGCACTGTTCATAGGGTTTGTCCTGAACTTGCAGTGAGGTGTGATCTCTTGTTCCATGTTGATGTTCTTTCTGTGATTATGAAAAGGCACTGTTCATAGGGTTTGTCTTGCACTTGCAGTGAGGTGTGATTTCTTGTTCCATGTTGATGTTCTTTCTGTGATTATGAAAAGGCACTGTTCATAGGGTTTGTCTCGGACTTGCAGTGAGGTGTGATCTCTTGTTCCATGTTGATGTTCTTTCTGTGATTATGAAAAGGCACTGTTCATAGGGTTTGTCTTGGACTTGCAGTGAGGTGTGATCTCTTGTTTCATGTTGATTTCTTTCTGTGATTATGAATAAGCACTGTTCATAGGGTTTGTCTTGGATTGCAGTGAGGTGTGATCTCTTGTTCCATGTTGATGTTCTTTCTGTGATTATGAATAAGCACTGTTCATAGGGTTTGTCTTAAACTTGCAGTGAGGTGTGATCTCTTGTTCCATGTTGATGTTCTTTCTGTGATTATGAATAAGCACTGTTCATAGGGTTTGTCTTAAACTTGCAGTGAGGTGTGATCTCTTGTTCCATGTTGATGTTCTTTGTGTGATTATGAATAAGCACTGTTCATAGGGTTTGTCTTAAACTTGCAGTGAGGTGTGATCTCTTGTTCCATGTTGATGTTCTTTCTGTGATTATGAAAAGGCACTGTTCATAGCGTTCGTCTTGAATTTGCAGTGAGGTGATCTCTTGTTCCATGTTGATGTTCTTTCTGTGATTATAAATAAGCACTGTTCATAGGGTTTGTCTTGAATTTGCAGTGAGGTGATCTCTTGTTCCATGTTGATTTCTTTCTGTGATTATGAATAAGCACTGTTCATAGGGTTTGTCTTGAACTTGCAGTGAGGTGTTATTTCTTGCTGCATGTCATCTCTGTGATTATGAAAAAGCACTGTTCATAGGGTCCGTCTTGAACTTGCAGTGAGGTGTTATTTCTTGCTGCATGTCATCTCTGTGACTATGAGAAAGCACTGTTCTTAGGGTTTGTCTTGAACTTGCAGTGAGGTGTTATTTCTTGCTGCATGTCATCTCTGTGATTATGAAAAAGCACTGTTCATAGGGTCTGTCTTGAACTTGCAGTGAGGTGTTATTTCTTGCTGCATGTCATCTCTGTGATTATGAAAAAGCATTGTTCATAGGGTCCGTCTTGAACTTGCAGTGAGGTGTTATTTCTTGCTGCATGTCATCTCTGTGACTATGAGAAAGCACTGTTCTTAGGGTCTGTCTTGAACTTGCAGTGAGGTGTGATTTCTTGCTGCATGTCCTCTCTGTGACTATGAGAAAGCACTGTTCTTAGGGTTCGTCTTGAACTTGCAGTGAGGTGTGATTTCTTGCTGCATGTCTTCTCTGTGACCAAGAGAAAGTACAGTTCCTATGCTTTTGTTAATTGTGTGAACAGATTTTGTGACACAGCATCTCTTCTTTTCTATAATAGAAATAAACCAAAGAAGAATCAGTTCCTATAGAATAGATTCTCTTTCATAATAAGGTATAGTGGAAATGTTAGTTTGGAATGGTGGTACTTAATTTACAATGTTTGTATTTATAGAAGGAGGATTCTACGAAGGAGAAGATGGATTTGACCACTTATCAGAACAAGGTCAAGCCAATCTACAACGTATGGAAAATTTATTAGGTCAAGGTGATGGTCAGTTACCAAATAATAATCGTAAGTAATTCAATTGTAAGTCAGTTTGTGGAGATATGATCTAATATTGATTGTGGTGGAGTTTTTTTTCAAAAAGTGCAGAATGAATAGTTTTAGATGGCTTCATTAAAAAACAGGTGGTCTTTTGCAAACATTTTCTGTCTAATATCCATTAATATAAATCCATTCAAAACACTTCAATTGTTTTCCCTTACTGCTGCCTTAGTGACAAGGGACTTATAAGACTAAAGTTTTCAGAAATATTTTTTAAAGATTACTATATGAAAGTTAGTAACAGATTCCAATCATATATTTTTTTTATTTCCTTGTGTAATTTGATATGGAATTGCATCAGGGTGACATCACTGTGACATGCTTTGTGTTATCCCTAATGATAGCTGGCCTACAGTACATGGTATTTTTCTGTTATAGAAGTACAAATAGTTATTTTTCAATACATAGCAGACCTTCAGACTTAAAGTGTCTATAGAAGACTTTTAATTACTATTTTAAAGAACAATAAAACAGTGAAATGAAAATTGATTTCATGGTTGCAAAAAAAAAATCTTAAATATATCAAAATTTATTTTATAGATGCAGAGAATGGAGATGATGCTATCATAGATGAACAGTTCGAGGATGCTGATGAAGATGATGATATGGAACAATGAACAGTTACCCATACAAAATACAAATGCTATGAAGTCAGTAACTTAATGGGTACCAGTGTGAATGGCAGTTGTCCAATGTACAGTTCCATTGATCATTATTGTATATAGACTTCATATCATTCTTTACATTGTTCATAAACTGTACTGAACAAAGATAAAAGGCCCAAATACATTCAGAATGTAGAACTGTATAAAGACTCAAGGACCATTTCTATTAAGAATAAAAAAATTCAAGATTTTTTTAATTTGTTAGCAATTCCTGAGTGTCATTCAAACTGAATGAAATTTTTATTGAAAGAAATTAAAAAAAAATGTAATGCCCATTAAATATGGATGATGGCATTACGTTGTCTGTCTGAGCATATCTTACAATAACTCAAATGTACTTTATTGAATCCTTGCTAAATTTCTACACCATGTTGGGTTACTTAAAAGCTGGCTATTTTCCATTAAAAAGAAATTTCTGAGCTGTATCAGCGTTATTGGACTGAAATTGTCAAAAACTACGCAAATTTACATGTGTTTGTCAGTAATTATGTTTTGTCAGGACAAGCTTCCTGTTGATTTGATATTGATAATTTTTCAGACAATATCAGGAGTTATTGGATGTTAATCTTCACATATTTCTAATTTTTTTTAATCATCTTCAAAAGCTATGGAATTTTCATATGTCTGATGATAATTTCTCAAATTTACCCTCACTGATCACATGAAAGTTATCACAACGTCATTGCTTTAAAATTTATTACCTCCCTTTGATGTTAATACTAAACTGTTGTCAGACAAAGTTATTATGGCCTAACAGGACTTTAATCTCAATAACTGTTCATATTTTTCATGATAATTTAAGTATGCTTTCATGAATTCTTATACAATCCTTACACACTGTTTTGTTCATTTAATAACATTAATTTGACAAACAATGTATATTTGTACTGATTTCTAGATGAGTATTTCATGCATGCCTGGAACAGCTATTTTTTTTTCTTTCCAATAAATCAAGGATATGCTCCTAGTACAGAAATGTACACAAAGTTTACTATTAACTGTATCTATGCACATTTTCATTGAAGTGAAAAATGAATCCAATAAGCCATCTTTAAAAGAGGAATTATAAAATACACATGAACAGTTTTAGAATCCTTAAAGAATTCAGTGACTCTTTTTAAAGAAGATAGATTATTCATGTAACAGCTAATGTACTAGATATGCAGATCTTTTTTCATGTTTGAATTTATCAATTCTCAATATAGTGCTTCATAATTGTGTATTATTTACAATAAACATTTTACAATAAATATTGTATGTAGCTGTAGTTCTTTTGTTAAGAAGAGTTTAAGAGCTACTACATTTTACCACTTTCTTATTATTTAATCAATATTTGCATCATGTTTTCATAATTTGGTCTTCTATATAATAGTATTTCAACTGTACTTTTGGATTTTAATATTCAGTATTGATTTTAACACGCCTTTGGCACAAAAAAAAAGCTGATAATGATCTGTAGGATTGTGGCCATACCCATATTTGGGGAAAGGTCCAAATGGTGACCAAAACTGTTTTCATTTAACTGCAAAGGTGGTTTAGTTTGAGGGGATTTTATATTTCGTAATTTTTTGGGGCAAATATGTAGGCGAGGTTTAGTTTTCATGATTTCTTTGGGCAAACATGTTAAAGTTTTGTTTTCATGTTTTCTTAAGCTATAAGAAGCCATTTAGGACCAATTCCATTGTTTTATAGATATAAGAAGATGTGGTATGAGTGCCAATGAGACAACTCTCCATCCAAGTCAAAATTTTGTCTTTTTATGTTCCAATGTTTTATGTTATTTTCCTAACTTCTTTTTTACAGGAACTTTCAGTTGTGCACTATTTGGTTTTACATAGGTTATTTTTCCACAGTAAACCCCAATTTGCCACTTCCAGCCCTAATTTGAACTCTGATTTTTATTCAGTTTTTGTTATAAGATCCATTTAAATTGCCTTGCATAAGTCTATTAAGAGGTTCAATAAACTTAAACACAAAATATTTATAAAATGTTATTTTTATTAACCCTTTTAATAAGAGATAAGGAGCAAAAGAGTCCAAGTCGAAATGGCCTTTAAAATAACTTTTTCATCTTAGTGGGATAAACTATTGATCAATGAGAATATTCAGATATATGTTGACAGATTTTGCAGTACCTCTTCAGCAAAGAGGCAATAGAGGGGTCAACAATATTACTTTTACATGATACATGTATATATAAAGATTCAAATTACTGTGTCAGGCACAGTGCCATATCCTTAGTTGTATAAGTTGATTGGCCTGTAAATCTGTTGAGATTCTCTGGTTAAAGATTGAGATTTTACCGTTGACACTTTGATAAGCTTTTTCCATTTTGCAGGTGTTAAAATGTGTTGTCTACTCTGGTAAATTTAAATAACATGTAATTCTATAAATGTGTTAACAAGTGTTTTGATTACCAATAATGTAGGTAGTTTTTATCTCTCCTGTGACAAAAGTTGCAGAATGCTAGACATAGGGATTACTAAATGGTTGAGTAAACTATTTGTATAAAGCTTTATATTTCAGAAGGAAGAAGACCTGGATGTTTCATACCTTGTATCAATGTACCTTCTGTTACAAAGTTTCTGTCTGTCATATGTCCAATGTCCTAGACCTCTTTTTCATGGTATTGTGACTACTTGAAAAAAATTTAAATTTTGTTTTGTCTTTTGAATTTCTCACTTATGAGTAATAGGATGATTGTAAGGGATACATCTCTGTTTGACAGATATCATTTGTCCTTGACCTCATTTTCAGGGTTCATTGGTCAAAGTTAAGTTCCTGTAGTTTGGCAGATACTATAAGTAATAGGGTCAACTATATTTGGTGTATAGAATGATTATAATGTGTACATGTCTGTCTGGTAGGGTTAATCTGACCTTGACATTATTTTCATGGTTTATTGGTCAATATTTAGTTTTCCTGGTTAAGTCTTTTGATTATATATTATAAGCAATAAGTTAATTATATTTGGCACAAGAAATGACTGGAAGGTGTGCATTTCTGTCTGGCATGTATCATCTGACCTTGACCTCATTTTCATGGTTCATTGGTCAATGTTAAGTTTTCATGGTTTGGTTTGATTCTTTGATACTACATTCTATAAACAAAAGGTCAACTATCTTTGGTGTATGGAAAAATTGTAAGGTGTACCTGTCTATCTGTCTCGGGGGTTGATTGACCTTTACCTTATTATCATCGATAATTGATAATATTAAGTTAATGTGAGACTTGTAGTAAAACCTTTATTTTAAGAATTTCACCATTAAATCAATCATGGTCAGTAAAGCAGGTTAGACATTTCAGCATGTGCATTCTTGTTTTTATGGATCAGTGATATTTTTTAATACAACAAAGTACTAAATACCATAAATATGACAAGGGACAATAATGACATATATAGTAATAAAATAAAAGAATGACTCAGATTTAACTTTTTAATCACTTATACATCATTTATAATAATAATATAAAAATTACAAAAGGAATACTAATCAGATGATTAATGAGGATAAATAATATCTTTTGAAAATTGTTTCACCAGTCACATATATATGTACCTATGAACACAAGGGTAGATCTATAAATTTTTACAACAAAAATATTCAGACTGAAAACTCCCTTAAATGTTCAAACTATTGTCATCAAAATGTCCTCTTTTCTCACCCAAAATCCTTGCATAGGACATAACAAGAAAAATTTCACATTTGTGTGTCTTCTAATACCTATATACTTTTCAGTCTTTTAATAGATGGTCTGTGGAAACGGTTTAGAATACATGGACCTAATCCATTAGAAATTATCATTTTTCCTTATTATACTCCAAGGAACAAAGTTCCATAGAGTATAATGTTTTTGACTCGTCAGTCCTGTTCTTGTCATCGCAACTTCTCTGAAACCACACAAAAGAATTTTATGAAACTTTGTAGTTATTTAGAACATATTATGTAGATGTGCATATCGTTTAGAAATTAGGATCTAACTTTTGATATGACCGCAAAAAAAAATTTTGTGGTTGTATATTGGTATGACGTTGGCGTCTTCGTCATCGTCCGAAGACACATTGGTTTTCGCACTCTAACTTTAGTTTAAGTGAATGGATCTCTATGAAATTTTACCACAAGGTTCAATACCACAAAAGAAAGGTTGGGATTGATTTTGGGGGTAATGGTACCAATAGTTAAGAAATTAGGGGCCAAAACGGGGCCAAAAATAAGCATTTTTATACGACCGCAAAAAAATTTTGAGGTCGTATATTGGTATGACGTTGGCGTCATCGTCGTCGTCGTCGTCCGGCGTCGTCGTCCGAATACACAATGGTTTTCGCACTCTAACTTTAGTTTAAGTGAATGGATCTCTATGAAATTTTACCATAAGGTTCAATACCACAATAGGAAGGTGGGGATTGATTTTGGGGGTTATGGTACCAACAGTTAAGGAATTAGGGGCCAAAAAGGGGCCGAAAATAAGCATTTTTGTAACTTCCAGACATAACTTGTGTGTTAGCATATGGATCTCTTTGACATTGTACCACAAGATTCCATATCACAAAGGGTCAATGCTGGGATTGATTTTGGGGTTAATTGCCTCAAAATTTTAGGAATAAGGGGCCAAAAGGGGGCAAAAAACAAGTATTTTTCTAGTTTCATGACAATAACTTGTGTGTAAGTGTATGGATCTTTCTGAAATTTTACTACAAGGTTCCATTTCACAAAGGGAAAGCTGGAATTGAGTGTTGTGGTAATTGCCCAAAACGTTTAGTAATAAGGGGCCTAAAAAGGGGTTTAAAATAAGCATTTTTTAGTTTCTAGACAATAACTTGTGTTCAAGTGTATGGATCTCTCTAAAATTGTATTACAAGGTACCATACCACAAAGGCAAGGCTGTTATTGAGCTTGGTTTGGGGGGAAAGGGGGGTGGGGGTGATGAATCATAAGGGGGGCGGGGGTCAAAAAAGGGGTAATTTTTTTTTGTCCTTTTTTTTTTTGTTTAAAATTTACATTTTAAGTTAGTTATTTTTTATCACGAAGAGAAAGTAGGAATTGAGTTTTGGGGTTAATTGCTCAAACATTTATGAATAAGGGGCCAAATATTGGTCGAAAATAAGGATTTTTTTAGTTTGCAACAAAAACTTGTGTTCAAGTGTATGGATCTCTGTGAAATTGTATTGCAATGTACCATACCACAAATTGAAGGTTGTGATTGAGGTGGGGGATGATGAATCAAAAGGGGGTTGAAAAAATGTGTGGGGGGGTAGGATTTTTTTTTTCCTTTTTTTTTCTTTAAAATTTTCCATTTAAAGATGGTTGTTTCAGATTTATATATGAAAGAAAATAATAATAATACGGTTATATATCATGAGGAATTGAAATTTAAAATTATGTATATTGGAAATTTAGGTTACATTGGAAAGTAATAATTGGCTTTGGGGGGGTGGTTATGGCTCTATTGTTTAAGGAATAAGGGGAAAAAAGGTTAAAAAACAAGGGTTTCCATTTTAATAGACAAATAATTGAGTAAAGAACATTATTTAAAAGCAGTGTAAGGTTGGTAATTCAAACTCATTTAAATATCTCATCTACACTGCTTTTAAATTATGTAAATTGGAAATTTGCCAATAACTTTATTGTTAATAAATGCATTGGAAATTTGCCAACAATTTTAGTGTAATAAACTTCATTGGAAATTTGCCAACAATTTTAGTGTAATAAACTTCATTGGAAATTTGCCAATATAAAATTTTGCTGATGAAGGTTTTTTGTTTACCTTTAGCCTTGACTATGAAGTCATTTTCTATTTTTATAGCCTTATGATGTAGTTGAATTATTTAATACTTTTATGATGTGTTTAAATGGAGTTTTATCATGTTTATGGTTGCAAATTTATTGTTTTAGTATAATAAACTCCATTTAAAATTTGCCAATAAAAAAAATTTTTGTTTATTTTTAGCTATGATTATGATGTCATTTTCTATTTTACTTTTATGGTTGCAAAGAAATTTTTATTTTTAGATATTACTGTTAAATGATGCTGATTAAGGTTTTTGCTATGTTTAGCCATGACTATGATGTCATTTCTATTTTAATATCTGTTATGATGTATTTAAATGGGCTTTTATGGTTACAAAGGAATTTTATTTTTAGATATTACTATAAAATGTTGCTGATGCTGATTAAGGATTTTGTTTATTTTTAGCCATGACTATGATGTCATTTTCTATTTTAATACCTTTATGATGTAATTCCCATTTTTAGATATTAC